GTTGAGAAACTTGATCGATAATGTTGAAAAAGAAAATCATCATATGCCGGTATTAATTAACTCGAATGTTGCTGAGCAGGATGTGATGAAAGGACAAAAACGTTTCTTGGATCAGGATGATGATAAAAGTGAGAATGAATCACAAAAAGTAAAATATGTCAAATATGATGAATTCAATGTTCTTGAAAATAAATTTATACAGATGAACTCGCTAGTTGTGAAACTCGAAATTGAACGTGATGGTCAGTTCGACTGTGTGGATGTGGGTGGGTGTTGTTGTCTCTTCTCTTAGTGAGAACCACACTCCAGTCTCACTATTGAACATATGCATTCCTGGTGAACAAGATGAAATAAAGCAAGTTTAACTTTTGTGAATCTTAACTTAAAAAAATATTTATTTATTTTAGTAAAGATGATTTGAATACACCAAATTTAAAACTTGATCAACATGAAAAAGAGTAATGGATTCTTTCTGTCGAAATAAAAACAAAAGATTTTCTTTTGTTATATTTGAAAAAACTTTTTTTTGTTATTATTTGGAAAAAAATTAGATTTTTTGTATTTGGATAGAAAAAAGATTTTTTTTGTATTTTCATTGAAAATAAAAATACATTTCTGTATTTTCATGAAAGAGAAAGAATTTTCTATGCTGTGTTTAAAAAAAAGGTTTCGTTCAGTTTTATCAGTTAGATAAGGAGAGAAAGTTTGTCATAGAGAATATAATTATAAGTTTTTTCCACACTTCGAGTTCCATAACTGATATATGAAAACAATTTTACCGTTTTTTTCATTTTTAATCAATTATTGAAACAAACATGGAAAGCAGCTAGTTGATTTAGAAAAAACAATATTCTTAATTATTACTGAATAAAAAAAAATTTCATAATTAAAATTCATTATCACGAATAGGTGATTTACAAGTAAGAACACATGATGTATTGATTAATTCATTTATATCAATTGGTCTTGGTTGAGTTGGAACATCATATGGATCTTTGATAGGAACTGGTTCACATGGACGACTGTATACACCTTGACCTTCTTCATTTATAGCAGCAATGAAGGAAATCATAACTTGTTCCTAAATATGAAGAATGAAGGAAAAAATTGTTAGTACAATTCTTATGTGAATCATGATGGAACTGCATAAATAGGTTTGAATTATTAATTTTTTTTAATAATCAAAGGTATCCAATGAGAGAGGCATTATATTTATTTGCTCATTTGAGAACTTCGTCGTATTAAACCATGTTGAGGATATGGGTGTGGACATAGGTGTAAAGAAACAGAATATTCACACCCTCAAGATGATCTGAGTGAGAGATCCGTCGAACATGACATATTTCTAGTTTAAATAATCTTTATTTATTCAACAAAAACTTTTCATTGAAATATATTAGTTGTTCTGATATAGACTATGCTCGTAAAGTTCGTTTTCAGATAGAAAAAACTAAGGTTATTTGTGATATTTTTGGAACGCCAAATCCGATTCAAGTTGTTTCAGTATAGATGCATCTTCGGAAAAGAAGTTTTCACCATAAAAAAACGAGTAATAACGAATGTATTCATCAATAATATAACCGATTTTGTCTGGATCTTGTTCATTTGTGTTATCTAACCATTTTAAAACAGTTTCCATAGCTGCATACGTAGCTCGAATAGTGTCGAAGGTGAGTGCATGACTAATGATTGAGCTTAGTCCTCGACTAATTGCGGATCTAATTGCGCCTTTGGATAAACGATCGATTAATTGAATAATATGTGAGTATTGCGTTTGTGTATATTTCGAATAAATACAAAATTCAAAAACGGCATCAATCATTGGAGTAAACTCTTCCTTTAACGTAATTTCCATGTGATTAAGTTCAGCTAATTTTTGTTGAAACAGACGTTCGACATCTTGGCGAGAGATGTTTGCCATAGTTGTTTGATTAAACTTCGTATAACTGCAACAGACAATAACAGGACTCGAAGTTGTATTAAAAAGGAGATAGTACACTCTTGAACCCTCCAAAAACGTTTCGTAGGTTTCAAAAAGGCCTGCAATGCGTTCAGAGATCCAGAAAACGATTAAAAACATCTACGAAACCTTAAAAGGATCTGGGCGTGGGTACAAAGTCTAAACTATATATTGAAAAACTTTTTTTAAAGTTCTGTACAGCATAAAAGGGTTTTGTAGGGAACTATCTACCATATCCTGATGGAAAATCTTAGAGATACTCGGAAAAATATCCTCAGCTTTCCTTTAAATGTCCGAGAGCTTGAGTATCTTATTACACCCACACGCACACCCACACCCACACCCACACTCACACCCACACCCACACCCACACCCACACCCACACCCACACCCACCCACACACACACACCCACACCCACACCAACCTCGACCCCCTAACACAAGAAACTCTCTTTTTTGTACTACTTAACGATTAGATGCGAATAGTCATGACATCTATTCATTGGAATACAATAACGAAATAAGTATATAAAAATCAACCGACGAATAAAAACAATCATGAATTCGTTAGGAATACTTAGCCGCATTTTAAATTACACATTTGTTGTGGGAACATGTGGGTTTAATTCTTCCCCAATTTTATGATTTTTCTTAGTTGGTTTTTCGTATCTTTAACGGCAAGTTCATATGATTATATTTATTAAAATTCATTCTACAATTCAGTGGACAAGTAAAATGACTGCTTATTTTAAAACTCTTTAATTTTAATTTGTTATACTCACGCCCTCACTGAATAATATTTATTGTATTTCCGAGTCGGCGAACAACGTAATAATTTATAATGCAATGTCATTATTATCGATCTTGTTTTCTTGCCAATGTCCACATATAGTCCATATCCACACTAGAATATGTATAATTGCAACTAGACCGATTAGCCATTTGTCAGTGAGAGATATGCGTAAACCTAGTTTATCTCCGTCAAATAAAGCTGCCGCACAAATAGAAAGGTTCACCAGGGCGAGGATTAAGACAAAGCACATTAGACACTGACTGCGTGACATCCAATAAAGTATTTTTAAATAAAATGTCAATAGCGAAAGTATACCAGCACATAGACCAAGTTGATTCAAAACATCTGACGAAGTCTGACTGTTATGGATCCATGTATAGCAAATAACAGTTTTTATACTAGTGACATTTGAAATGACCATTTCGTCATTTGTACAGAGGTAGGAACTTTTCGTGTTATTTTTATACCGAGCGAAGCAGACTGATTGTGTTGATGGACACATATCACCAGGATAAACGAACTCTGCTTTCAATATACATCCATCAATAAAAACAAGAACAAGTACGATGATTGCCATGAGAAAAACAGGTAGTGTGAACATCCTTTTTCTCAAATTCCGCGTCAAACGTGTACAACACTCGTTGCGTGCTACGTTATTTTCTTCTATTGGAGGTTCTTTAATAAAACCACCGAATAGACTATCGACCAGCTTCTTGTACATATCCGATGGTAAAAGAAGCAGAATGATAAGAGCGACAAACACCGCACTCATAATAGTGCCCCATATGATTTTCGTGTAATCAGATTCTTGCATTATCTTTTTTCGTCTGACGTTTCTAAAAGAGACAAACGAATAAACTAGAGATATCACTTCCTTATTATGTATAGTTACTGATGCTTTGAGCATAGATCTTCTACTATTGTCAGTGCTCGCATTATTATTTTGTAACAGGCTACTTTTTCTTTACTATTGAGTCAAGAAAAATAGTTTAGCTGTACCTGCCAATATCAGATGCATTTCTTTTCCTCAATGGACAAATGAATTAATCATTTTTAATTAAAAAAGTTCCACCTCGTTTCAGACTCAAGCGTTTTCGAACAAACTGACGAATTTTCTTAAATATCAGATCCATTCCTACTTACACAACAAGAGGTGTTCTCGATACTCCTCTATAACTAAGCATTTACTTTCGATTTTTCGATAGATAAGGGCTGCAACTGTTCGTCAAGTATTTGCATCTGCTACGGAAAGCATGAAATTGCTTACAATAATTATTACTTATGGCATATGAAAAGGAATAGCAGTGGCATTTTATTCTCGTATAGTATGTTTAAAAGACTTCTTTCTATATAGTCTGATAGAGGAAAACAGTTCTATCTTTTTGTACTATTTGGTTATACTTCACATAATATAATGGCAACAAATTTTTAATAAGATCCGTGTCATTAGTATTCGTGCTCGTTGTACTACGTTATAATAAGTGAGACAGATTAAATTTTCGTCCCTTAATATATTGCATTAGCAATCAAAACATACCGTAGAATACAGTGCGAAAAGCTCTACAATTTACATAACTCATCTATTCCGTAGTTGCACTTTTTGTTTTGAAAATGGACAAAGTGTTGACCGATTGCACTGACTTTCTCTCCTTTATAAAGCAACACAACAGGCTTTACTATGAAACTTGTACAGCTCTTCACACTATATATGTTGGTATATTTGATTTTCATTTCTGACGGCGCGTCTTCTAAGTAAAACGATGAAATAACAAAAAGTTGGTGTGTTATGTTTCAAAAAAGGTATCTTTTTCTTATGTTTGAAGTTTAATCGCCGAAGTCACACCCGTTTAGTGGTAGACTATTTATATAAACTTAATATTAATGTTCATGTTTCTGATTAATCATCAATATTAATCAAAGTCACTAACTAATATCATTAATTCAGTTCCGCTAAAAATAATGGCCCACCTCTAATGTTCACTCTGAAAAGAAAAAGTGTAGCTATAAAATAAGTAGTCTTATGCAAATCACAGAGCTTTTCACCTTGTATTGTATGCTATATTTTGCTTTTTAATAGCGCATTCAAATGAAATAAAAGCTGTAGTGCAAACTTACAACGAGTATAAATGACAATTCCATGAGATTTATTAAGACTATATTACGTGAAGTATGACCAAATAACATAGAAACATAGAGCGTTTTTTGTTTATGCGAGTATATAGAATGGAATTTTGCAAACATTCTGGATGAGAATAAAGCGCCACTGTTTCTACTTTTGATACGCCTTAAATAGGCGACTTACCAAAAAAAACGTTAGATTGTACGAGAAAGAGATATAAATAGTGTCTCATACTATTCTTCTTGATAAAAATTGTATTCGTCCTTCATATACATTTGGTGCAGTCTGTATTATTCTTTTCTGTTTTCAAAATATTTTTCTCTTATCTATATTATTTCTAAACATGGATTCTTTTTCAATTATAACACTTCATCACTTATTTTACAAGGGCAGTTTCAGGTTTTTCTATATTCTTCACTAAAAATCAATACAAAGTGGATCACTCGTTCGTTGAAATCAAATAATATATGTACTTGGGACCGATCTGTGATGTAAATGAATTACATAGCAAGTTATTCTTATACAACAATCCAACTTATGTTGGATTTTATTAACTAATTCTTAAAAGTCTATTTTTTTATCCAATTCTACCAAGGCATGTGATGCTCGAAACGACTTTTTGGTAGCGAAAGCAGAAATGCACGCGTAGATTCTCGATCTCAATCATAGTGACGGTCAAAACATGCACTTTGAGAACGTATCAGATGGCGAGGATAAGATGTAGTGACACAGGTCAGATAAACCTTGAAGCCCTCCATCCTCATACGATAGCCCATATAATGTCGATCTGAATTTACAAAAAAACAATCTTGATCGCAAAATGGAATCAAAGACTAGGGATGTGAGATGGGTGTACGTAGAGTATTCATAATTTTTGCAAACACCACGAACACCAAACTTTCTAAGATCGCATGGATAGTGTAAGGTGTTCGGACAATGCTGAGACGTAATCGTTTATTGAATAAAGAATAAAATGTATAACGCAAAAAAAAACAACAGATGGAACGGGATTGACCCGGTAAAATATATACTATATTCTAATCGTGCATTTATGACTTCTTAGTTAAACTTATGATTCAGACTCGATCCCATTTTTGACTCTCTCTCCGAAATTCAGAATAGGATTCTTTTATCGCCATTCTTTGTCGACCCTCGTCAGAAGTGTTCTGTCCAGACTCATCTTATCTACCAACTTTTTGTCTTACCACTTTTTTCCTTGAATTCAAGGACGAAAACCAAACGAAAGAAAAGAATAAGAGAAAGATATATGAAGAATTAAAGATAAATGCGTTAAAGGAACATGCATCGAAAGATGACATACCGAGAGGAAGGAGAACTAGTAATACGAAATAAAGGATAAGTAATATCGTCAAAAGAGGTATCTTCGAAAGGATGTCCGTCATGTCTCTTGACAGACTGTTTTTTTACATACTTACTTTTTTAGCGAAGAAAAAGGACTCTATCATGCATTGCGCCTTGACATGCTCTTTCAAAGAAATATGTATATATAAATATTAGACGCTTCGTGATCAAGAAATGTGGGATGCGCGTTCGCAAAAGTGTCAACTAAGAAAAAAAGAAAAACTTTCCGATTTAGCGCAACAAACTCATATTTGTCAATAGTAATGCCCCAAATTTTAGCCAAAAAAATGGATTTGATAAAAAATTATATTACCTCTGAAAGGACTGAAAACGGACTATCATTCTATGCATTTATCTCAATTTCGGAATTTTGAACGAAAACAGACATTTGGATATGGGTGCAGGTGTGATTGCGATGCCTTTATTCTCGAACACACACCCACACTTACATCCTAGCTTGCATCCATACATCAATCTTTAAAGCGGTTTTTATCATTAATGATAATATAACATCTAGTTAGCAATTAAGATAGCACACAAAACTAAACTTTTCACTCTAAAAGACGGTTATCATCACATTCACAATGACGACCAAAGAAACAACAACCACAAAAAAAATGGTAATAGGAACCACCACCATAACAAGAATCATAGTCATATCGACTATCATATTGACCACCACAGCAACCTGTGCAAGTAGCATCAGGACGCCTAATATAATATTTGCGTTCTACCATCCACTGATTGTGACCATCAATCCAAACCCAATCGCGACACTTACCACAACGAATACAAGCACGACCGTTGCAAGGTAGTTCTTGATGAAAGTCTTGTGTATTACTCTGTGGTTCCACACGAACGACTTCCGATGTACCGCGATTAATATTGGATGACATATCCATAAGGATACTTGCGTGTCTTACCAGAAACTTGATAAAATTCTAATGCTACTGTTGTGCTATTATGAGAGAACCGTTTCTTCATGCTGTATCTTATTATCGAATGAAGAACAGAACATAAAAGAGAAAGAAAAAGAAGCAAAAAATGTGAGTAACAAAAACCAGATATGGTTTGAAGACGTATGTAGATATGATTGTAACATCTCTCCAGGGTGCGGGTGCAGATGGGTGTGACGTTGTGGATGTAAAATAAAAATAACCACACCCACCCACACTCTATAAACATTGCCACTATCAAAAAAAAGTACTGCCCAGTTCAATTACACAATCATAGACTTTAAACCATTCTTCTTCTATTTTAGAAGTTCCATTACCTACTATTGAAACGAATGCCTCACTAACCAATAGCTGAGACTTGAAGGTAGTTTTTTCTTAATTGATGGACTAGTATTTTCGTCATTTATACTTTCACTTGTAAAAAATACTTGTTGCTTGAATCTAAAAGTAGATATGTTTCGTTTCATGTATAAACAACGTAAAGCGCACATGTTCTGTTTATCAGTATATAATTTCTCTTAAAATGAATTGTCTGTATATACACTGACGTAACAACGAAAAAATAAGAAGCAAAATATACATATACATGATGACTAAGATATAGGCATACCCTCAAAACTTTGCTTCTGTGATCTTGAGGATGTAAGTGCGAATATGATTGTAAATATTCTTTCCATCTCATACTTAGGTCAAATTTATTTTAATAATGGAATAGTATTCTGAAAAACTATAACAGTTTTTTTTATCTAAGCCAAATATTTTAGAATATTTTTGTCATCGGATTGTCGTTCAAGATATTGGTTTTCGATTAAAGTATCAATAGTTTTCTAAAAATAAAACAAAATTCAAATTTCATTTTTAAAAAAGAAAAAGAACTTCATTTACTTTAATAACAGGAATTTTTGGTATAAAACGGGGAGTTAATTGTTGAATTACTTCTTGTATTAATAATGGATATTCTAATATTTGTCTAGCTTTCATTATTCGAACAATGGTTGCTTGAATGACCATTCTACGATCATTATTGATTGTATCATCAACGCTAATACTTTTCTGGTCGATATATTTCAATGGAACATTTAGGTTTAATCGAAGTTTTTTACTTCACAAAATAAAAGAAAAAATCATATATTGACTGACTTCGATATAAAAAAAATTACCTTTTAAAATCATTTGATAAATGAATTACATAATTCATCTGAATGTTAGTATGTTTGAAATCTTCATCTATATTGATATTTTCGCATATTAATATTTTATTCTTCAACAAACTACTAATAACTTGAAGTAATGTATCAAGTTTAATTTGTGTTTCATCATGTAGTCGTTCAACTGTCCAAATTAAAAATTTATTAAATAATAATAAAACAGCCATCTGATAAGTTGATACTTGGAAAATATATTTTTGTGATGTAAAAGATGTTTGCAGTTCTCCTTTTGAATGTTGGTGAAGCCATTTTAATTTTCGACCATTATGATCATGATTATAAAAATCTATGAAATTATTCGACGTTGATTTTAACTAAAATGATAAATTCGATAGTAAAGAAAATGATGAATAATTATGAAAATTTTACTTCAATTGGAAGAACAAGATTTGGTATTTCAGGAAATGACCATGAATTTGAAGTGAGTACCATTATAGAAAAATCAACTAGAATAAATCATGTCATTTAAAGTATTCTGCCGATTTGTTTTACCTATATCAGTTATATGATGATTTTCACAATATTTTTCATAGTCAGATGTGAGGGTTTTACTAACATCAACATCTTGTAACATTCGTTCTAATTTTGTTGTATATTCAAAACCACATTTTCGCTGGAAAAGATAAGAAAATTAGATATTCATTTTAGATTGTGAAGTAGAGTGAAATATTTACTTGTAGTTGTAAAACCATAAATTTCTCATAATCGTCCGAATCACTTAATTGACCAATTAAACGTTTCGCTAACCGATTTCGATACAATCTTTCAAAGATATCTTTATCTTCAATGTAATTGAAAACAATCTACAATATTAACGGAATATTTAATGAAAAGAACTTGGAGAAAACAACTAATACCATGATTTTATTGAATTCTTCTTCGAAATCAGTTTCTTCAATATTTTTAGTTCTACAAAAAACAGATTATGTCGATCTTGGTATGACATGAAGTTTTTTTGAACAAACCCTTTTTTCGATAATGCATCACAATATCGAACTAATAACTCAGATGATTTGATTGAGCTATTACCTGCTTCTGTTGTAACATTATTTATGAGTTTACCACAAGCCTATATAATATCATTCATAATAGATAACAATTTCAATGAAAATATATTTACTTTATCGAATGCAGTAATAAAAATTTGTTCACCATCAAAAGTGTCTTGCACAAATTGTAAGTATTTCTTGTGAATATCAAGAATTGTTTCAATATATAGTTTTGGATCCTATAAAGTATAAAACTAGATTAGTGGAAATGATTCGAGTTTAACTTATATTAATTACTTTTTCATTAACATATTTAATAGCATTTATACCTTTCATAAAGATATGAGTTTCGATCAATTTTGCCACTTCGTTCTTTAATTTTGGGATTTGACTAATTGGTTTATAAAATCTTGTTAATTCTGTATAAAAATAGAAAAACTAAAAGAAACGAAATACACTAAACTTCCCACCTTGAGAATTCTCATTTTGTACGATTGATTTTAAGTATTCCAAAATAATAGTAAATATATCTTGAGGAATAAATATGTCTTGTACCATATTAGTTAACTTTTTCGATATTGACAGCTCTTGAGGAAGATAAGACATAATAAGATTTGTTTCATGATGAATATATTTTGATATCTAAACAAATCGATGATTCAGAGATTCTTTGTTGGATTATGAAAGTTACCGGTATCAGATATTCGAATATTTGATCTGGTTCAAAAGAAGAAACATTTTGTTTGACATAGAAATCTTGTGCTACTTGAAGAAATTTAGTTTCAAATGATCCAATAGCAGCGGAGTTGATCACATCATTGCTCATTAGTTCGATCAAATTTTTATCCACTGAAAAAGACTACTGTTTGAAAACAAAAAATAAACAAATAATTGTCTATTTACAATACAAATGGAGGATATTTTCGATTAGTTTATTATCAGCAAAAGAATTAGTATTCCGATCTATACTGATTAAATTAAAACATGCTTGTGTCATACGTAAAAATAATGGTTTGAAAAAATTGTCCTTCCAAATTCGTTGCGATAGCTAAGTATTCAAACAATTCAAAAAAGAAAACAAAATGATTAAATATAACATACCACGTTAATCTCAACAATATCGCGTCTTCCGGCATTCCACTCTCGTTGAACCCAATGTTGATTGAGATAACGGCAAGCATTATTTACTTTTCGACACATATTTTTGTAATTGTTCCAATTCTTTTCATACAGGTGAAGTGCATCATTATCTGTCATTTGATGAACATCCTAAAATAGAAATAAACAGAGGAATATTAGACAAACCTATCTGAACTAGATTCAATAAAACGGAAGAAAGCTTTACTTTACATATATAGTTCAACTTGTTCTCAAGATAAGTTTGGATATGATGGTATAATTCACCTCCGACGACTTTACACCCATCCGGTACGTTATAGTGACGTGTAGAACGCTTTTCTGATGTAGATGGAGGTATTGACATCAAATAATCGTATGTAATACTATAATTAAAAATCGACGTCCCAAGCAAAAATAGAAAGAAACTTACGTATATGTTTCCATAAACATTGCACGCGAAACTTCACGGAACGAATAAATAGAATCAATAATATTTTCTACTTGACTCTTGGCTTTATTTAGTAAATCTTCCGACATATTTTATTCTATTTATTGAAAATACTCTCTAAAATAGATAAACCGATAAATGAAAAATATTTTAGCTAAAATAATCAAGTAACTCATCTTGAGGGTGTGCATGTGATTATATTTATTTCAATCACACCCACCCTCAATGAAACATTTATAAATAAATATTTAATTTAGCTAATAATGATTGAATGTATGGAGGATATCGACATTCTTCAAATGCTTGATATCGAAATGGATATCTATTTGCATTAGGGGAACTTTGAAGGTACATATGAAGACATTTTTCACAGAATAAATGTTAACATGAAGCATATGAACGTTCTTTCCAAAGTAGATCTTGGCAAATAGGATTGAAATATTCTGCAGGAACTAATTGACGATATGATCACGATTAATTTTACCTTCGTCCATTGATGGATTATACATGTCTATACCTCACCTAACAACCAAACGAATGGCGAGGAAGAAACATTACATTCTTTTTTACTTCGTAGGAATAAAAACAATGTATGCTTTACATCTTTCTTATTTCTCAAGTGTCATGATTCATACCTCATGAGTCATGAAAATGTGAGTCAACCATTATAAATTGGAAAAAACCAATGTGCTGTCTCTTGATGTAACGAATCAGAAAGCAGGGTGTGAGATCGGTAGTTGGGTATACAACTTATATAGAACCTCGCCCACCTACACCCTCAAGACGACATTATTATCAAAGAATTAACAACTCTAAGAATTAGATTCTTGTAAAATCGAACAACGAAAATAATAGTGTTATGGCGCATGATATATCTCTTGTCATAAAGAATGCTGATTCTCTTTCATTTTCTCACCTACTACTGATATCGTTGAATATTTAAGGAGTAAATGTTGTTAAAAGAAAGATGATTCTTGTTTTATGAAAGACGAGAAATAAAGAACAAAAAGGAAAGATAACGAATAGAACAAGCAAAGAAGTGACAAGAGCGAGTGAATGAATGATGACAAAATATGTTTTTTTTCTCTATAAAAAATATTCAACCATCGAAGTTTTGTAAATATCATCTATGAGAAAATTGTTGGTTAAAAAGATTGATTCTTCGATATTTTATCAATTATTGAATAGACACAAAAATGCATATTTAACATGTTTTTGGTACTTTACAATTCATATAGATTAATTCTTAATGAAAATTATAGGATAGTACATCGTTTCATTTATTCAGAATATTTCTCTGAAAAATAATTGTCGCATGAAATTAAACTGTGTTCGATAGTTAAAAATATTAAGCAAAATAACAATTTATAGAACAAGTAAATCACTTAAAAAGATCTGTCGTTTTACTCAATATCTTTTGGTATTTAATACAACTAAAGATAGAATTTCTCAAGTTTGAGTCACATCTTTAACAATAATTACAAGAAAATAAAGTCTTTTTACATCACATTCAACAACAAAAAAAAACATCGGAAGTGAATTAAGTTTTGATGATAGAACATGAATAAATTTGTTTTTTTTAAATTACCTTACCCTTTTCTCTTACTCATTGAAATATAATATTTACAAGAACTTATAGATTCCATATTTTATACTATCTAACTCTGAACTATTAGAAAGATTAATACAAAAAGCGTAGATGAAAAACTCATTCGAATGATAAAAATTGAAAATGATAGCATAATTATTGGAGAGAAAAGTGAAGGATTACATAGAAATTAATATTTAAATTAATTTTTACATTGTTTATAGAGTCATAATTGAATCAAAGACGTCACTCGAAATAAAAATTTATGATAATTAGTTACATATTCTATATCTATTCAGTGTGAAATTGAAATTTTAATAGGTTGAGAAAAAAAATGTTTAAAATAAGAACTTCTTGTTTTACATCGTTCTCTTTACCTCATTAACTTTTCTTTCTATTTAAGAAATATTTTCATGTTATTTCTTTGCACTTTTTTCTTTTTTGATTTCTTTTGAAAAAGTACGTCTATAGATTGAAATGAGTATTGTCATGATAAATATTATTTATTTATTTATTTATTAGATCATTAATTTTCCATAGAATCGATTTAATAGGATAAAAATGTTAATTTGGTTTAATTATCATTTACATATTTTTCTTATTTATATTTCAATATCTCTTTCAAGCGAAGATATATCTAGTGGTTGGCAATCATTTATTCATTTCTCTAGTTCAGGATTTGAATTCTCTCCTATTGATATGGAAGCCCTTTTCTTACAACAAACAACCGCAGATTCTCTAGAAATATGTAGTCAAATGTGTCATACAACGGTACTTTGTCGCACATTTGATTTTGACATTGTATCACATCGGTGTCGAATCTTTCAAGGTGATTTAGATACTACAGGATCAATTATTTCTTCATCATTATCTCAATCAGTTGTTGGATCAATCGAACTTGATTCAACACAGTTCGATAGTTATGGTAAATCATGTTTATTTTGTCAAGGAAGTCGATATTTAAAATGTATCAATTCATCGTGTCAATGTCAATCAAATACTTATTTTGATGGATCAATTTGTCGAAGTCAAAAATTACTAGGAAGTCAATGCATCAATGAAACAGATTGTCGTACAGATCTCAATTATACTTGTTTACCACGTCTACAATGTGGGCGTAAGTTATTTAATTTATTAATATATTTAGATATATAACGGCTTATTTTTAATTGAATATTATTGATTTATCGATTCGACTTTCGTAGAATACATCTCAATTATACTATATTTTTTAATTACACAACAATTAGTCATTAGATTAAATACTATTATCTCGTTTCTAATTAATTCTAAGTTTACCAACTGAAATTAAGTAAACATATTTTAAGATTCTGTATCTATTTTTCAGCATTGTCTCTTCAAAATGGTAATACTGTTGCTGGATATGGAAATGGTACAGCAGGTTCAGATAATAATGCTCTCAATAAACCATGGGGATTAGCCATGGGTATTGATAATTCGCTCTACGTCTGCGAGTATGGCAATAGTCGAGTTATGCGATTTCACGAAGGTTCGACATTAGGTATACGAGTTGCAGGTTCAGCTAGTGCAGGTACTGGTTCTAATCAACTTTATGAACCATCGGTGTTGTATGTTGATGCATCATCAAATATTTATGTGGCTGATGACATAAACTATCGTGTAATGTATTGGGCCAATGGATCATTAAGTGCTACAAAAGTAGTTGGAACAGGTTATTCTGGATCATCACTAAATGCAGTGGCTGATGTCTTTGGAATCACTGTTGACTCCCATGGAAATATTTATGTAGCCGATACAATGAATCATCGAGTAACAAAATGGATTCCAGGTGCTACAGTAGGTATAATTATAGCAGGTCAAAATGGTATATCAGGTAGTCAAAGTAATCAACTAAGTTATCCAGCTGGACTCTTTCTCGATGAACTTCATTCGTATCTTTATATTGCTGATGCTGGAAATAATCGTATTCAAAGAATAACACTGGGTGGTTCAACAAATGCTACTACTGTTGCAGGCGGAAATGGGCAAGGATCAAGTAACATGCAGTTGAACAATCCCATAAGTGTGTATGTTTCAAAAACTACAGGTGCCATATACATAGCCGATGAAGACAACTATAGAGTTACAAAATGGGCTGTTGGTGCAACAAAGGGAGTAACCGTGGTTGGTATTGATGGACAAGCAGGAAGTTCTCCAATGTTATTCGGTGATCCAACATATGTCATACTTAATCTGAACGAAACTCTTCTCTATGTTTCTGACTATGTTAATCATCGTGTGCAAAGTTTTAAACTCATATAATTAATGTTTAATTTTATTATACTTTAAATAATTGTTTGTTCGTAATTATAATATCTATTCAAGCTGAATCTAACTTTAAAATATTTTTTGTTGTATATCAGTCGTTTATCTTAAAAATGCTTATTTTTTTGTCTATTGAACATATTTATATTTATCACAATAATAAAATAAATGAAGAAAAAATAATGAACAACTCTGAAAGAACAGAGAAAGAATTGATCAACATATGTATTAAAACGTATCACATTTTGCGCACATAAAAAAAGTTTGAATTATAGTAAAACGAATAAGAAAAAATGTGAATAAATTCTCTTAGTATAATTGTTTCTTGTTTTATATAGAAAATCAATTTTGATGAAAAATGTTTTCTAATTCAATTATTCTTGTTTACACCAGTAACATATAGTTAGTCATGGTCAATGACTACATAGATATGATCTTGTCGTATAATAATTAAATCGATGATCTCTTAGTTAAGTTAACAATCGGAAATATAAATATTCAGTTTAGAATTTGGGTGTGGGTGTGGGTGAGGGTGCATGGTGTTCTATATTATTGACACTCATAACCACACACCTACACCCACCCACCCTCAAGAAGGTGAAGTAGTTTTAGTTGTTTCCAATGCGTTTTTTGTTCCATTTATTAAATTCACAGGTATTTCTAATAACAAACAATAAATTCTTAAAAAAAATCAACTCCTTTTTTATAAATTGTGTACCATCTGAGTTAGTATATGATTTGTTTGATATTAATGTGGAG